GCAGCTACTTTTGGCAGTTCAAATGTGCAAGTTTTCCCAAGTTCTCTTTAAAAAAGGCCTTCCTTTTCACATGGTATCAGTTTTCAGAATTTATAGGCCCAGAGTTTGAAAAATCCCTTATTCAGCCATGAAGAATCTATTTTTTTTATTATTATTATTATTTTGTGTATATACTCACCTATATTTGTTGGGACAATAAATATAATAAATAACCCTATAACCCCATTAAAAATAAATGGGGTTCAAGCTAGACTTGAATATATAGACAAGAAGTATGCTCAGAACTTGTGCATAGCTAGTGAAATAAAGTAATAATGTATTATGTGCATCTTTTGAAAGTCAGATAACTGTGTGCAAATGTTGAGCATAAAGATCTACTAGTTCTTTCATGTAGGACAATTTTAAAATAAGGAATGTTGAACGGGCTGGAGATATAAGTCATGTTCTTCAAATTTTGTTTTGTTTGATGTTACCAAACTTTTTTCAAACACTACATTGCTTGTAAAGAATATCCTTTCTAGACTATCCTTATGGAATAAGCAAAACAGCAAAGTGTGAGTGTGTGAGTGTTACTGATCAGAAGTGGGTGATTCTCACATACAGTGGTTCTTTTGGATCAAATTTCCAGATATATGATAGGAATATATATATATATATATTCCTATTCAGTAGCTGCCACTTTTGCATTTATTTAACTCAGGAACTCAGTATCATTAGGTTTTACTTGCAATAATGCTCCAGAGACAAAGATGTCCTCTTCCATACATGGGTCGAGAGACAGGTCACTTACAGAAATATGGAGGAGTTTTTCTAGTTGTGCTGAGACTGATATGGACTGCTGACCTGTGATCTGCCTGTGTATCTGAAGATCAATGTTGACATCTGTGAGTAGATAAACAATACATTTGTGAAACCAGACATGGGATAAACTTTCTCTGTTTACCTTCCCTTCTACCATCAGGTAGAAGAATGGAGAGGACACTGTGAGAGGTGATGGAAGAACAGGAGGTTCCAGCAGTGTTCAGAGGAATGCAGGTTATAGCATCAGGGAAACACTGTGTAAAACATTTGGGGATGTTCTGCTACAGTTATCATACAAATTTACCATCTCCTCTGAAATGTATTTGCAAACTGCACAACCTGCAGTAGCTCCATGGAGTAGTTAAGAAGCAAGTTGAAAGTAATCACTGATTATCTGATACTATCATACTGAGATGGTCTCACACTGGTAGAAGGCTTTGGCAAGCATACAGTGAGCTATGACAGAGGTGTTGCAAACTTTTCTCTCATCCTGTAGAACCCATGACCTCAAAGAAAAGGCATGCCTTCCTGTAGCAAAGGGAAGGGACTTGTACACATATCCATGTTCCCAATATACATAGGTCAGTGTAAAAAATCACAGTAGAGCCACAATAATATGTAATACCTGATAATATTCATCCAGATATTTCACCTAAAGAGATGAAGAAATGTTAAGAGATGCATAAAAGTGTCTTCCAGAAAATTTACAATAAGACTTACAGTTAAAAAATGAACCTTCTCTAAGAGTTAAATGACCACACAGTCGTATGTCCTCCAAAATCTAAAGCTGGAGGGTATGCTATCCACTGGGCACTCACTGAATGAATGGAGGCTTTTACCTGTCACCTGACTCAGGTATCAAAGGTCCAAAGTGCACTCTGGCAACTAAATGGCACCTAAATCTGTGTGCTTGAAGATATGAATATGAATGAATACTTGAATGTGAATGAATATGAAGGTAATTTGGTTTCCCTTGTCTAGCAAGTCACTACATAGGAAGCCTAACCGCTACCACACTCAAAGCTGTGCGCTGTGTGCACCTCAGCATTGCTTTACAGGACATGGAAATCTTTTGCAGGATTTAAATGTCCTGAGCCCTAAACTAATACTTTAAAACCTATTTCTCATAATGAAACCACAAAAAAAAAAAAAAAAAATTTTTTTGCAGGTTTAGGTTCATTTTTGGAAGTCATTATCTGGCACTGAACATGGGTACTGTTTGTCAGAAAATTATTTCATTCCACTAGATCATATGATTTGATGAAGTGATGGGACAGTGACTGTCCATGACCTAAGGAATCATTTTAGTCTTTAAGAGAAGAACTCTGAGGACACAAATGATGGCCAAGTTATTTCCACTGTGTGAGAAATGCAGTATTGACTGGAAATACTCTGCTTACTGTCTTATTTCTATTATACAAAAGAAATTGGGGGGGGCCAGAAATGTCACCCACCAACTCTCTCTGTAGTCTATATAGAGATTCTCAAAGATATGGTACTTCAAAGAGCTAATATCTGCCTAAGTAATGAGTTAGTAGATGTTGTACTATATTCCTAATAGTCTTTATTCCCAAAGAGCTCAAGAAAGGATCTCACTGCTGTGGGTTTTCATGTTCCTATGCTGATGCTGGATTGTTTTTCTCTTACTCCTACTGGATCCATAGTTAAAGTTGAAAGCCTGCGCATTCCCTCTTAATATCTTGTGCCAAATTTAGTCTACAACACCTACAGAGAAGGTCAAAGGGAGATTGTTACATCTGACTCAGGAAGGAAAGACTGAATCAGCAATGCAAACAACAAAAAAAATCTGTATTGGGGGTAAAGAGATTGACCTTTAGACATAGCAACTGTAACAGAATGGAATAGTCATAAAGCTGTTCACCAAATGATTTGCTCTGAGTCAAAATGAAAGAAACTCAAATCAAAATGAAAGATTTTTTTTCTTTCATTTCTTAAATTCATTGTTACTGAAACAAGATTAGCTTACTAAGACAAGATTTTGTTAGGGAGCTACAAAAAGTGAAAAATACTGTATTTGTCACATAATAAATACAGACCTGTTTGGGGGTTGGTCTTCTCCTAAACTTCATTTTTCATATACAAATTTTGACAGTAAATCCTAGAATAGAAGTTTTATATTGTTCTTCATTGTGGTAAATTATCACAGGTTTGAAAATGTGAACTTTAAGCTAAAATGAAAAGTTCTCTTTACACATCAACAAAAAATGTCCCAGCAGTTGCAAAGCTCGATCTTAAAAATTGAATTCACAAGTTTCTAGATTTTTTAGAGTGTCAACAGTATTTGGAGTGGAGTGCCCTTTCCAGGTAGACATATCCAATTTTGTTCCATGGCACTAAAACATTATACAGAGTCTGACTTTAGCCTATTCCACATAAGTATCTTATGATCTGAAAACGGGACTATATGATCTTGAAGGTCTCTTCCAACCTTAATGATTCTATGAATCTACAAAAATTAACATGGAAAGTGAACAATGAAATGAAAATGAACAAGAAAAAGGTCTGAAAAATTTCAGCATTGCACATACTCTTATTAGGCAACATCTGCTGAAAGTAGTCCACAATGCAAATAAACAAGATAGGGAATGACAGAAAGAAATATAGTATTGAGGAAGTGATTTGTCTAGAAAAGCAGGAGCTGACTGCAGTATAGCACTTGTCTCCCCTCACTTCACAAGTTCACAAGTTCAAAAGTCAAGTGTTTTGCCCATTTTAAAGACACATTTTTTGTCCAAATACAATTCTGATGCTAACTTTAAAAACAATACCAAAACATGATGGTGTTTACTTTTCAGTGAGGTCAAAACACCTCTACATTTTTTACATCTCAAATCTTTTCACCTGCCCAGTGAGCAAACTGTTTACAGATGCTCATGCTCCACCACTGGACCACTGGAGTGTCCTGAGTGTCTCTACTTCCAAGTGGCTAAATTATCTGTGTAAAGAGGTATGTATCCTGTCACCTGGGAAAGCTGTGTTCTTAAAAGACACATGCCATCCATTCATTTGGATGCTTTTTTATTTGCCAGAATACCAGGGGGCCATTCAAACACTGGAGCTTCCTAATATAAAAAGTGTGCAGGTAGCACAATGGGCTAAGACAGCTTGTATTCTCTTTCTACCAAGGTACAGTGCAGAATGCTTTCAGGAAAGGTGCCAACCTTCTCATAATAGATAATTATTTTAGACTGTTCTGTTGCCTACCAGTCCTGAATCTCATCTTAATGGCAGCTTGCAAGATCTGTGGTCTGCTACATAATAAGGCATTATCTGAGATGTTCATTCCTCTTTTTGTACTCTCAGTAGGCTTTGGGGAATAACAGATGAAGTCAACTGACAGGCAAAATTTTTACGTCCTTTCCCCTCCCTTTCCTCCCACAAGAACTGCTGGGAAGATATCCATTATCTCAGTCAGCAAACACACAAGCTCTTCTGTAACCACAGCAGGAATGGCAAGATGGCCAGCTGAGTGAGACAGAGAAGAAATGCAAGAGCAGCCCATGAGTCTGAAACATAAACTGCCCTTTTTATGGCTGGCTACTTGGCAGAGATGAGAAGTTGCCTGTAAGGGACATGGGTGATATCTCAGCACCGTGATCTTTCTGATCATTGTCACCTCTCTAATGAATTGTGTGTTGGAATGCTGCTGTCAATGATTGAACTAATAGGTCCAGTGCAATGGGGCTATTTCTGAATTACTGTCTCAAATCTAGGAGATAAATATTTTGTCCTGAACTTCTCTCTCCTTCTTAGGCTCTTGCCTCTGTTCTGCCTTTGATTTTCAAACTCCTTCTGGCAAAGGATATTTCCCACCAAAAAAGTTTGTACAATGCCCAAGACAGATAGGTCTTATTCCTGGTTAAGTTCTCAAGTCTCTAGCTTAATAGAATATCCAGCACTGAAAGTACTATCCTAATTTAAAGGGAAGCAATAAATGCTGGTTTATTTTATTTTTGAGCATTTTACAATCCTTAAGGAAAGACATCAGTGAATATTATTGTTATATGATCATTTTTTCTAATACTCAGCTTCCAAGACAGTTAAAGGTGCTAGAGATCACTGTGGGCATGTCTCAAGCAATGCCAGCAGCACCACAGAAAGAAGCACGTGGTGCAAATCAGTAGAGGCTATTAACCAAGCCTCAAGGGCTCTTAACTGTGAGGAATAAAAGGCTGGAGGCATGATGTTGGAGGTGAGAAGGCTACTACTGAAGGCATCCTTGGGGATGATCTTTTGTATTCTCTGAGGAAAAGAAAGACTTCCAGTGAGAGGAAACAAAAGACCTGAACAGCAGGAATATTTTGGGATTGGAGCCAAGGAAAAGAGTCAGTAACAAAGACTGGTAATTTTGCGTGAATTGCTGTTTTGTGTTGTTGAGCACCAGGACACAGCTGGTGTACTGGAGAACCTGAGGATTTGTATTAACTGTATTGAAATGATAATGAAGTTTTTATTTTATGATTGCAGATGTTGGTGGATTATTGTTATTAAGCCTATTAGTGTAATAGTACAAATATGAGTTTCCCTTTGCTTATAGTCTTATTTGTTGTAGCTTTGTGAAATTAAATTTAGGTGGCTTTTAAATAATGTAAAATAGCATCAAAGGTCAATTGAGGAGGTAGAAGCACAGAGCTGAAGGTAAAGTAGTTCAAATGATTCAAATTCTTGACAACTTGAAAGAAACTCACTGCTTTCCACAGTTACACTCAAGACATATGTTTAGCCATTCAGTGATCCTAAGCACAACAGAAGCGAGAGGGAGATCTGGGGATCCCGGGTTATTTTATGGATCTTTGAAAGTAAAAACAATGTTTTGCTTTGAAAAGCAGGTTGTCACTTTGCCTCCTCTTAAAAAATAAATTAAAAAAATAAATGATAACTTGAGCCATCTAGATTTCTGCTTCTGAACATGGAGCATCTGTCCAGCTTTCAGAAAAGAGCTTTGAAAGGTTCATGCTTTCAGGGAACTAGGCTTTGTCTGACTATCTTGGCTGAACACCCAACATAGTAACGGCATTTGAAAGTATTATCTTACCATACGAGACATTTTTCAGTCTATTCTGTATAGAGACCAAATTTTGTTGGTTTGTTTGTTTTTAATATAAAACACATGAAATGAATGTACAATGACACTTGATTTGTTATTACAATTTAAGTGTATATCAAACACATTAAGACAATTCACTGCACTTATGAACTTACAGTCTCTATGACTATTAGACAAAGGCCAAGGAAAAGTGGTTGTCTTTCTTGCCAAGGTTCAAGAAAGTACAATTTTTACTTTAGTCTTAAAACCTCACCCTGCTGACCAGCATATATTGCTCTCACAGACACTGAACAGGACAAATGGAAGGCTAAAACATGCACATCTGAAAACATGATTATACTGTGATCAGACACTTACCAAAGATTTTATTAATTGTTTAATCTCTTTGTTGCTCAACCTCCACTTGCACGGGGCTTGTTCTTATCCTGGTGGTAAGCATGACAAAAATTACTCGAAGCTGTCCAAACAACTCTGCTGCCTTGGCTGACCTGAGGGCACAACAGCAAGTATAGGTCAGAGAAGCACAGAGCCTGATGTACAGTAACTCATGCTGAAGAAACCTAACAGAGTCCTTTCCCGATGCTGCTAAAGAAAACTAAGAGTATTGTTTCCCGTGCTACTAAAGGCCACAGATTTGGGGCTTCTGCTGATGGAAAGGGATCCTGAAGGAGGAGGGGACAGTTAGGGACTTTCCCATCACAGTCCAGTCGTTGTCTCTCCCTAAGCAGTGGAATTTTTTGAGACAAGTCTTGCTGCCAAGTCATACTTATGACTTTGAAGCCCTAGTTTTTGAGCATACCTCTCCAGGCTTTGGTTAGCAGCCCTTGGCAGACACCCAGCCAGTGACAGGTGGTGGGGTGCCAGAAGGCAGTTGTGCTGCCAGCAGGGTGAGGGCTGCTCTCTCACATGGAAACCTAACACAGGAGTCCTCAAATGCAGCAAGAGTGGAGAAAATCAATCACAAGAGGATAATTCTGACACCCTAGGTTGGTTGAAGGATCTTGGATGTATACCATAGCTGGGCCAGTATCTGCTGAAAGCCCTGAAGCACTGGCTAAGATACAACTTTCAGACATGCGTTGTGATGAGCCCCTGCTTTTGCTCATGTGCAGAACAGTTGGCTCAGCCATCAAATCAAGATAAATGATTTCTCCTTGGGGGTAACGAATATTAACACTCTTTATTTCAGCTGTGAGTTAAGCCTCTGCCTGAAAAGGAGGAATACACTGGATTTGAAGACCTTGGGAAAGGACTTTAAGCTCCCATATATCTATGTGCATACTTTGAGATACATAAACAAAACAGACATTGAAAACTCAGTCCTTGTTAACCAGAAATCAATATTTTCCAATTTCTTTTAAGCATAGTAATTGCAATATTCTTCAGATGTTCTTCCCAAAAAAAACTATCATGCAGAAACTTCATAATGACAAAAAATCTAGAATAACATCTGCTCTGACACAAGGTTTTTATTCGTTACTTTTTATTTATTCTTTCTTATTTTTATTAATTCTTAATTTTATTTCAGTGAAGAAGTTAATTGAAGTATGATAGCAGTAAGTTGCAGAGAAAGGCCAATGAAATTGTTTGTTTGCTTGTTTGTTTTATATATGAATCTCAGCAGTAAGATGGGATTGAAGTGAGCCATTTACACGTAGCCTTATATGTGTGTTGTGCATATTTATATGTATATGCATACTATATATATTTGTGCATTTATACAGAGAGGCACACACAGACTTTTAGCCATTCTTCTAGAGGCTGTAGCATAGTTTCCTACTTAAATGTAGTCAGAATAAAATAACCATTAATCTCCCAGTACAGCCTAGGCAGTGACAGGGTAAGCTCCTGTATTTTGCTGCCAACAAGCTTCCTGGGCTGAGAAGTCCGTTCCTTTCTTGTCATCTTGGCTGAGCCTACCTACAGACATGCCAACAAGCAGTAAGTTATAGTGTTTTCTGTTATGACACCTGACTCATCAAGGTACTAAACCACCTGCTTGATTTCAAGCATGGGACATATTTCGTTATTCAGACGCATTCTCAACTGCCATAGCTGAACAGGCATTGGATTAGTCAGAAAACGTAACTGGCAGCAGTCACTCTCTCATTTCACATAGACTACCAAATTGTGACAGCAAATAGTCCCTGCTTTCCTGGCCTTTATCAGAGCCATCAGGCAAAGAAACATTTTCTATAAGTCCTGTGTTTTCAGACTTTTTACACATTATTTTTAAGTCAGGGGAAATTTCTGTTTCCCCATATGTACGAGCAAATCCAATTGCTTTATAAAATATAATATTTGGAAATACGGAAAAGCACTATTTGGTCCCTCGTAATTTCCCTGTTTTCAGCATCAGTGATATTGAAGCAATGTTGTTAGGGTTTCTTAAGATGCAACAATATTCATTTTATTTCCCAGAAATAGTACTAAAGCTTCTTGCCATTTATCACAGTTCTAGATCAAAGCCTAGCAGTGAAATACTGTAATGCTAGTGAGAAAGTCATTTTAAAATGCAAGAGGAAATGGGAATGACCCTTTCCTTCAAAATAAAGAAAGCTAAATTCTCTGACCTCTCAAAAAATGTGAACAACCTGCACCTTCTCCTGAAGTATATGTCTGTCAAGAGACAGGTCTGAAAAAGATTGCATCAATTTGTTTCTTTTACATGACTCAGCACTAAGCAGCGGTGAAATGCTTAAAATGGTATCACAATCAACAGAACAACTTATACTCTCCAGACACTGAAGAAGGCAAAGGTCAAAAAATTTGCAAAATAAACTGTAAGTAAAAAATTAAGTGCTTCTGTTCAGTATTTAAGGTTATCCTGTATTTGTATCAACAGAGTACTGTTGATTTAGTATGATTGTGCTTATGCATAATTTAGTTGATGGTAGCTTGGAGCCAAAAGTACCTCGTGATGTCAGCACATATCAGGGATGTTGAAGTAAGGCCAACAGAAGATTCAGATACTAAGCAGTTCTGAAAGATCAAATTATATTTGTTCATTTTGGATGCCCCAATAGACGTTCAGTGAAAGTTTGATGACTACTTTCAGAAGTTGCCCTTACATGAGTAGAAACTCTATGTCAACTTTAATGTCAAGCCCATGTGTAGGTTCACTGGCATAATTTAAAATTATACTGAGAAGTGTAAAAATTGAAATCCTACAAAAAAGTTAAAATAAGCTATTATTTTAGCTATTGTTCTGTTCAGCTGTTTTGGTTAAAGGTGTTAGAACAACAGCATGAATCTCAGTAGATTGTATGTGTAATTATTCTTATGAAAATACCATATTTGCAGACATAGTTCTACAAGATCAACTTGCCTAGATACAATCTTGTCTTGGGCACATGCCCAGTAGTAACTGAACAAGAGAAGGATCTGTACATGAAAATAACTGTCATGAAACTATCTCTGAAAGCAGAATTTCCACAACTTTACACTGTGCCACAGAAATCCATAGACCGCCCCTTTGTTACACCTATATAGTTCTGCTCTACCCTCTTTGTTAGCAATTACTTTCGTTCTGCAAAGGGCTTTTGTTAGGTTTTTCTGAGTAGTTGCTTCTGACAGAGTTCACTGCATAATTAGCAATACTATCTTCCATAACAGGAATGGTGTATACCAGAGTATGCATTATTAACTGCTCATTGCCCTTATAAGACCTGCTTGAACTTTTCAGATTGATGTTACAGAATTGTCTGATTACTAATAATTACCATGGAATGATTTTCTTTACTAACACTGCAAGAAGTAATTCAGTAAATTATAGCAAATTGTATTTTCTGAACAAAGTACTTTAGGGGTCATTAGGCATTAACACTTTTTTTTTTTTTTTAATATGTACTTAAAACAAGTTAAGGCTTTAATCTTATATAAATGTCAAGATTAACCTTACTTTTGAAAGAAAAAAACTAATATACTGCACATTCAAACACATGCAAAAGGGTGTTCTGTTTCACATATTACTAACAAATGTACCAAGGCAATACATGTTAATTACTTGCTGAAGTTGCTTGAATCATAATCTTAAGAAATACTTATTGAACATCCACATAAACAACCTATCAAGGGTTGGGAAAAAAAAAAATGTTTTCTCCAAAGTTTACAAGAAAGATATAAAGTAAAAACTGGTTCTGAAATATGTGCTGATAAATCTACATTGTACTATGTTTTTTCAAGACACAGGGTTTCTCAGAACAGTAGCCAGGCAAACAAGGTGCTATAGTACTCAGTGATCCCAATAAGGTCTATATTGACTCTGTGACTGTCTTTTTTTTCTGAATAGAAATTTCACACACTGCATATGAGTTGTGCATTTAACAAACCTCTTTTTCTTAAATGAAATTCATTTTATGGTTTGTTTGTGTTTTTTTAATATATTTATAAATTAGTATTTTCCAGCATAAAAGCTTTCCGCTCATTTCACAGCAGTTCTTACCAACTATACCACAACAGAGGCACAAAAACAGCCAAACAGATGGCCACTACATCTACGTGGCACCAGATAGATGCTCCTCAGACCAAGCTTCAAACAACAGCTGAGGTGAACTCTCTGTGGCTTTTAATCTTTATTCTGAAAAACCATCTTTAGTTGGGAAAAAAAAATAAGATAATGTTCTATCAATTAATTATCGATTAAATTAACTCATTAATTTGACAATGACATTGCTCCTTGATTTTTAATTCTGAAGTTTTTTTTGTATAAATGTCTTATCACCATTGCTTTAGAATATCTAATTTATTTCCAGGTATCCTATACATTTTTTCATATTATTTTCCTTTCTTCCAGAGACCACATTTACATAGACAACAGGATATGGGTGAATTTGTCCTATTTTTTTCAGCAGTTTCTGAAGGTTGAGTTTATTCAGTTGACTGAGAATGTTCAAATGTTCCTGTCCTACATTAGTAGAGGTACTATGTTGTGCAGCTTTGTAGTATTAAGTCTAAATCCATTTGTGTGAAGGATAGATAGAAGACAAAATACAATTTCATTCTTTTAATTCGGTGGAGAAAAATTGTTACTGACATGGAGAAAAACATAAGAAAAATGAATTCATGGGAAGCCATTTTTACTTAAGCACCATGTGGGCAATTCTTTTTTCACTACTTCAGAGCCCTGTGAGGAAGTCAACATGCACCAACATTTAATATACAATTTGTGAACTATTAACATTTAATTTAATATTATTCAGTATAAATTCATTTCATATCAACAGTAATGAGTGTTTTTTTTTCAGATTCTGGCAGTATTTGTTCTTCACTGTACACTCACTGTAGACTGATTGACAGTTTCAAACTAAATACCAGTAGCCCAAAATAATGTACTCCTACTCTCAGCTTGTGCTTGAATATTCAAATCTGCAGATGTAGGAGTGAAACAGAAGACATAGAAGTGGGAAAAAAAAAAAGAATATGCACCGAGATTCCAGGTGTTGAATGTTTGACATTGGCTCACTTCAAGGAATATTTGTTTCTTCAAAAATTGGACCCTGTTACCTTTCCCATAGAAAAGTTTCAGATCTTGCAAAAACTTGTTTAATAATAATTCCTATAGAGTGAAGCAATGAACTACTGAGGTAAGAAGCTTTTCTTACCCATTTCAGCATTGCTGTATTAAATCCTGAATATGCATTTTGAAAAGATTTATATAAAAAAATAAATTTTGATTCTTAAAATCAGAAAGCTCTGTGAGGCTGGTGTCTTCAATGTGAGCTTTTAGACCAGAACTAAATCAGCAAGATTCTTTGTGCATATACCTCCACATAGTTGCAACCACAGAGTTTAGCTTATGTTAGTATGTTAATACTAGGCATTGTGTATATGTGCAGAATGAGTTTAAGGGCCTATTATCTCACTTGCATAAGCAAACAATTTGCTTGTGAAACAATTTAGCATCTGGCTTTACAGCCAGAACTGTTTATTCATTTTCATTAAGGCATTACTGCTGTGGAAGCAAAAAGGAAAATCTGCTTCAAAATGAAGACAATTCATAGTTGCATCTTAACAGCCTTACACTGTTTTCTTAACACAGAAGAATCTGTGATACTTAACACTTCTGTACTGTAAAATGGAGTGTAATCAGAATGAGAAATGTTCCCCCACCTTCTATATGCAGTCAAGGCTGATACCTGAAGAAATGCCTTAACAGGCTTAAATTCAGTCATTCATGCATGTGGGGCATTAGTGTCCCCACTGAAAATTAACTAATAGATATTTTTCATATATCCATGATGTTAGGCTTCACAGAAAAGTGCAAGAAAAGTATCAGATGACTTTAAAGATTCTGCGTACTCTATGGTCATGCAACAAATATGGAAAATTTGGGTCATTCTAGTCCTTCGTTAATCTTCTTCCCAGGCAATAAATGCCACTGTAAAGACAGGATAAGATTCAGAAAGTATAGTGAGGTTGTTATGGTTTGCTTCTCTGAATTGTTTTAATCATGTTATGGAGAAAAAGGAAAAAAAAAAATCAGCATATTTTTTTGGTTCCACAAAGTATTGCACATTTATCATTAATCCCTTCACCAGGAAGAAAAAAGATGAAAATGCTGACCTGAAATATACACTTGAGATTTACTGGCTTCTTTGATATGTCTGTATGTGAGTAGAATAAGAATAGTTTTACAGAGAAAAAAAAAAATATATTTCATTATTTCCTTCCCACTTTCATCCTTCATACTAGGTGTAGGAAAATTGAATATTCCATAGAGAACAAATTGATTACAGGTCAGATTATCAGTATGTGTAGGCTGGCATAGTTTAGCAAAATCAAGGGAGTTACTCCAGTTTACACTAACTAAAAATCTGTCTCACAAGTAGGACTATGCAAACAATCGATATCTCTGGGTCAGTGGTAGAGAAGAAAACAAGTAACACATGTCAAAAGGACTAAGGGTTTTTCTCTGACTTGAGAAGAAACACGTAAAAATGTAATGAATTGAAAAGAAAGCTATTTCAGTATAGGGATTTTTTTAGTTATATTTCAAGGCATCTTTCATGTAGAACTAAATGAAATTTGGAAACCAGTCTAGAATTATAAGGGAATGAAACAGAAACTCAGAATAGGGAGGGGGCAAAGCTATTGATGTGATAACCCATCCTCTGCAGCCATGATGAGACTCTAAAAAACAAACAAGCAAGAAGCAGAAGTGGCCTAAATAGCAGAATGCCAAGATTTCTGAGTCACCTCATATAAACAAAGGGACTCTTCTTTTTGTAATAAACAAAACTAGTTTCCATGCCTCACAGGTATGCCCTGATTTGGGTGATAGAAAAATGGGGTAGTCTGGGTAGAAAAACTGGAGAACATCCAGGTTGATTTTTCTCCGGAAAAAGCTATGGGAAACAAGGAGATCTAATAAAAATGTAATGGAGTTGCCATAGAAAAATGCCAAGCTGACAGAAAGTTAAGCATGAGTCACAACACAGCACAGAGTGTTTTATGTTTATAAAGGGATGTGTTCCAACCCTTGCAGACACACCTAGCATAATTTTAAACTTTATTTCATGTCCTAATCTCAATGGTAGAAGAGACCACCAAAAGCTTAAATGAGGCTGTAAAATCTGCCCAAGAAACAAATAAACTTGAAGGCAACTAGCTTGAACTCCCATGACTATGATGCTAGCAGGTCCCAAATTAGCCATCTTATAGTAAGATCTGTTGCTTGACCACAATGTAAATATATGCATAGTATCTTATAATATCTGTGCAGCTGTGACTCAATAGCAATCAGACCAAAAACCCCCCTGATATAAGTATACTTGTAAAATTTACTTGGCTGTAGGCTCTTCATAATGAAAGGTAGAAGGAAGCTTCCAAAAGGACAAAAAAGGCCAACTAGGAAACTAACCAGTTAGCAAGGATTACAGACTTGATACTACAAATTCTTTATGCATACAAGGGGAAATTCAAGACATTCACATCATTGGATTTCTAGATTTCTATGAGCACTTATTAAGCAGATGAGTTAGCATGTATCTTCACCTCATGCAGTCATCTGTATGGGTGTCCCCAGGATAAATGGTAGAACCATGGCAAGCAAATGATCTACAAGTAGTCCATGGTTTGTACCAGCATGAGAATTCAATGAAGGATTTAATTGCAAAATCCTGGAACTTGTGTGTAGTCCAAGTCCCACACGAGGTGTGAGCCAGTATGAATTGCAAGGAAAATCAGATGGAGAATGTGTGCTTTCTTAATCTGTGAAGATTATTCTGAAATCTCTTCAACCCTCCCCCACCCCCTTTTTTTCCCAAGATGAATGTATTACACAGAATCACAGAACTATCTAGGTTGATAGAGACCTCAAGATCATCGAGTCCAACCTCTGACCTAACAATAACAAGTCCTCTACTAAACCATATCACTAAGTTCAACAACTAAACGTCTTTTAAAGACCTCCAGGGATGGTGACTACACCACTTCCCTGGGCAGCCCGTTCCAATGTCTCACAACCCTCTCAGTAAAGAAGTTATTTCTAATATCCAACCTAAAACACCCCTGGTGCAACTTTAGCCCATTCCCCCTCATCCTGTCACCAGGCACATGGGCTAATAGACCAACCCCCACCTCGCTACAGCCTCCTTTAATGTACTTATAAAGAGCGATAAGGTCACCCCTTAACCTCCTTTTCTCCAGGCTGAACAAACCCAGCTCCTTCAGCCACTCCTTACAGGCCTTGTTCTCCAGACCCCTCACCAGCTTTGTCGCAAGTATCCAAAGTGATGATCTGTAGGAAGATGAGCATGCATGTCTCAGGAAGGATAGTTCCCAAACAAGAAGAATGAAGATCCATGGAGGCCTGCATATATAACTTTAACAAAGAGATGAGTATTCAATCCTTAAAGTCTAGATTTTTCAGTGTACTTTAATTCTTTGGTAGGAGTTTGCGTCAACAATTTTAGAATACATGACAATGGGTTTGAAAATTAACAATAAAATGTTATTTTTTTCTCTTCTTAAAAAATAAAAATTTAAAATTAAAAAAAAAAACAAAACTGTCATAGTTCTCTAGGAAATGTGACCAGATGTCTTGAAATAAACATATTTCATCCTTATTACACTGATAGGTTGACTTTTTTAATGAGATTGTTAACTCATTTCCATGAGTCTGATGTGCTAAGAGAGATCACATCTTTTCTTTATTTCATAGAACAGGGGTCATCATCCAATCACTGATACGTCCCACACATGGTTAAATTAGACTATCACAGATCTTTCTTCTATAATTATAATGCAAGGTAACTATGGTAACGATAGTTGGCAAATCTTGTCTTTTAAATGGCTTCTGTTGCACAGGTTTTTTTATCTTCTTCCCCCTCCCCCTTCCCACACACATTTTCTTCTTATTATAACAGGAAGATGTGGGTAACTATTACAATATATATGGATTCCTGTCCTCAGCACTACCAAAGATCATCCTTTCATCAAGAATGGCAATTACTTTTACCCAATATCAACTTAAAATTACTTCATTTTTAAGTTCTCAAGACACATACAACCAGGGAGTTATGCTTCCTCATAACTTTTCAGCATAAATTCAGATTTCACTTTTTCAACAAATTCTAGCACTTTCTAGAAAAATTAGTGAGCTGAATCAGCTTCAACCAAGGTTAATATCATGATGCTTAATGCATATTTGACACCTCCACATTAGAATTAAAGCACATAGATATTCTTCTCTAAACTGTGTATATTTATTTTTACTCATAGTCTATCTGAACTAGTAAATAGGAAGGCTACTCAGTTGCTGTAAAAATATATATATATATATTATATATATATGCATATAATATATATATATATATTGTTGTTTACTATTATTTTGACCTAAGAGGAAAAACATGGTAGAAAACTGCTTGACTCAGAGGTGTCTGAAAGCTGACTGTCTGTGTCTCTCCTCTTAATGTCTTTTTTTTCCATTGACTCACCTTTGATTTTTGGCAGATTCTGAACAACCTGTTCATTATAACATTGGCAATGTGATCATGCTATCTCTGGCACTACTTGCTTTATAGAACAAAACAGTGCTCTGTTCCTTTGACTAGTTTAAGATGCATTGTGTTTCTTTCATCTTTCAAATAACTTTATTTTAATTAAGAACAAGATGGCAAAGTATGTTTAAAAACTTGGGCTACACGTTATTTGCAGACAAAAGTACAAAAATTCAAGGGCAGAGTTAAAGGGTTTTCTGTAAGAAAAGAAATATTGGTCTTCTAATTACAATATGCAATGTTATCTTATCAGTTATCAGTAAAATGTTATCAGTTCCTTAACTATTGGAAAAATAAGGTTATAAAATAGATTAAAAAAAAAATAGAGCTAGAGTTGCAATATGTGGAGATATGGCAAAAAATAGGAACACAACTTCATCTGTTATCTTTATATGTTGTTTTTTAAAATGGCTTTAATCACAGTAATAAAGTTCCAGCAAGTTAGAAAACTAAAATCTATGGTCTAAATACAGCTCTGATATAAATCTAGAGCAATTCAACTGTGAGCAGTGGTGCTGTTCCAGATTTACACCAGTGTAACTGAGACCAGGATCAGCATCATTTATTAAACTGTAGAGGCCGTGTTCGTCTCTCAGTATGTTTATTTAAGTCTCATTAGCTACTGAGAAGGAACTGTATACCTAATGGACTGCAATGGGTAACAGGATTAAGAGTAAGGAAAGCAAAGGGATTTTTAGACCTCAGGAAATGCAGATTGTTCCCCAGGAGAGAGACTATTCAATTATCTTATATACAGATCCAA